TGTGGGATCTTCCTGGACCGGGGCACGAACCCGTGTCCCCTGCATCGGCAGGCGGACTCTCAACCACTCCGCCACCAGGGAAGCCCTGGATTGTTTTTATAATTTAAAAAATTAAGCACTTAAATTTTAAAAATGCAGAAAGCTTAGCACATAGAAAGACCAAGACTACAGAACAAAAAGCAGACAACAATAACAAAACAAAATAATAAATCATCACACCTCTGCAGACTGCCACTGTCAATATTTTGGTTTCTTGTGTGTGTGGTTTTTTTAGTAAAGAATATATTGTTACTCATCAGGGAAATACAAATTAAAACCACAATAAGATACACACCTACCAGAATGACTAAGATGAAAAAGACTGACAATGCCAAACGTTGGCAAGGATATGGAGCAACTGGAACTCATACCTTCTGATGGAACTATAAACTATTTTAACTACTTTGGAAAACTCTTTGGCAATATCTCCCGAAGATGCCTCCCCTCATGCCTGCCCCGTGACCAGGAATTCTATTCTTAGGTTTGTTCTCAAGAGAAATGAGTACACATTTCTGCCAAAAGACATGTTCATAGCAGCATTATTCATAACAGAGCCAAACCAGAAACAACCTAAATGTCCATAACATAAGAAAAGATACATAAATTGTGGTATCTGTATATAGTGGAATACTATATGACATTAAAAAGAACAAAGTACTCTTACATGCATCTTCTGATTACCTATTCATAGTTAACAACCCTAAGACTTAGTAGCTTAAAACAATAATGATCTGTTTGCTCTGGATTGTGCAATTTGGTCAGGAAGTACTTTTCAAATGCTGAATAATTCTCTTCTGTACAGGGCATGGCTCTGCTCCAGAATCCTAGGGGTCTGAGATGAGGCTCTGCCACTGGGGCTTTTGGAGACTTTACACTGTTTACTTATTGCCCATGGATATTTCTAGTATCGTGTGATATGCCGGGTCATACATCCCAAGCGCTTGCCCCATATCAAGTACCTATTGCAGAGCCTCTTTTGCTCTGGACTTCACTTAAACAAGTCATAGAGTATATGGGCTGGATCAGTATTTAGTATACTGCCTCCAAAATCCTTATTGGCCACCAGCGCTATGTCTCTTTTTAGTGGTAGGATGTCCACAGTATAATAACTTGTCCTTTACCATAGAGGGAGTGTCTCAGCATGCTCCAACTCATTTGACCATTTAAAACTTAACTAATGGGGCTTCCCTGGTGGTGCAGTGGTTAAGAAACTGTCTGCCAATGCAAGGGACACAGGTTCGAACCCTGGCCCGGGAAGATCCCACATGCAGTGAAGCAACTAAGCCCATGTGCCACAACTACTGAAGCCTGTGTGCCTAGAGTCTGCACTCCACAAGAGTAAGCCACCGCAATGAGAAGCCTGTGCACTGCAACAGAGTAGCCCCCGCTCACTGCAACTAGAGAAAGCCCGCGCACAGCAACGAAGACCCAACACAGCCAAAACTAAAAACAAACAAATAAATTTATTAAAAAAAAAAAAAACTAACGTGATAGGTTTCTGAATTTTTGTGGGGAATGTGGTCATGACCCACTTTTTTTTGGTTGTGTTGGGCTTTGTCTTCGTTGCTGCGTGTGGGCTTTCTCTAGTTGTGGTGAGTGGGGTCTACTCTTTGTTGCGGTACATGGGCTTCTCATTATGGTGGCTTCCCTTGTTGCGGAGCACGGGCTCTAGGCATGCAGACTTCAGTAGTTGTGGTGCGCAGACTTCAGTAGTTGTGGCTCGCGAGCTCTAGAGCGCAGGCTTAGTAGTTGTGGCACATGGGCTTAGTTGCTCTGCGGCATGTGGAATCTTCCCGGACCAGGGCTCGAATCTGTGTCCCCTGCGTTAGCAGGCAGATTCTTAACCACTACGCCACCAGGGAAGTCCTCATGACACACTTTTGATCTGCTTTTCTGATATGGATTGGGAAGAATGCATTGGCCATATTCTTAGCTTCTTACAGTCAGAGGCCGTGGAGACTATTCTAGTAAAGATACCATATCTGATATAATGGCTGCAATTAGGGCTGCCTCATGGATAACCGGACCAGGAATCTGTGTCCCCTGCGTTAGCAGGCAGATTCTTAACCACTACGCCACCAGGGAAGTCCTCATGACACACTTTTGATCTGCTTTTCTGATATGGATTGGGAAGAATGCATTGGCCATATTCTTAGCTTCTTACAGTCAGAGGCCGTGGAGACTATTCTAGTAAAGATACCATATCTGATATAATGGCTGCAATTAGGGCTGCCTCATGGATAATCATCAATCACCATGTTACATTTGGTTTCTGTAAGAGCAAGATGGGGGGGTAGATTGGGAAACACTCTGTGTCCTTTACGTTTTTGAAGGTAGGACTAACCTTTGTAATTCCACCAGGGATGTGGTATTGCTTCTGATTTACTATCTTGACCAGTGGGATAACTTAAGAGACTGCTACTCAGTCCTTTCCCTAATGGCTCTTATTCCACAGATTAGGGAACCAATGTGAGGGTTCTGTTAGCTGCTAAGTACATCCACACCAATTTGCATTCAGGGGCTAGGAAATAGCCACAGACTCGTCGGACCCATCGGACTCTGAGAGGGAGCCACTCTGCACGGCTGTGGGATCTTAGTTCCCTGACAAGGAATTGAACCCGGGCCCTCGGCAGTGAGAGCACAGAGCCCTAACAACTGGACTGCCAGGGAATTCCCCAGGATGTTTAATCTTGAATCAAGAGAGAGGCCTCAATAAACACTCTCTTTAGCCACCTTGTATTCCTCATCTCGCCCAGCCCCAGTCCCATACCCCTGAGAGCTCCTCCATGTGTTTCCCTGTTCCTACCAATACATACCAGCCACACCTGTAGCTTTTTGCTAAGTTGTTTCCTCCAGTAGCAGGGACTGTACTTTCCTGCTTGGGCAATGCTGAGACCTGACCCAATTATTGGTCTAAGAGAAGTGGCTGGCAAACCCCTACTCTGTGGACCAGCTGACCATTTTGGTATAAAGTTTTACTTCAATGTAGACACACCCATTTGCTTGTTGCCTATGGCTGTTTTTGCACTTTAAGTAGTACAAAAGCAGAAATGAGTAGTTGCGACAGAGACCACTTGGCCCACAAACCTAAAATATTTACTCTCTTGTCCTTGAGGTGTTTTGCTGACTCTTGTCTAGAGGCAGAGAGGGGAGGTGGGGTGAATCTTCATGTGACGGGAGAGTGTTCCCCTCTAGAGAGGGAGGGGGCATTCTGCAGGCCTGGAGGGCTCAGGGGAAGCTGGGAGTGTAAGGTTCATCCTTACAAACATCT